GCGCACACACACACACACACACACACACACACACGCAAACACACACGCCCTGTCCCCTTTCTCTACCCCCCAAGCTAGTTGCATTTAGCTCACAGAGCCTGGGCTGCGACTTGAAAGAGTTTAGGCAGCAACAAACAGAGTGGCCCTGGGGGTGCCCTCGACCGACAGCCGACCCCTCGGCGTCTAGGACCTCCGAGCGGGGATGCAGCTGGGGGTCTAGGGAAGCACTTCCACCCCCTCCTCCTCAACCCTGGCAGGGTGGTGAGTAGTTAATATCCCCTTCCCAACCCCCATCTTGTTCAGGGTCCCCAGACTTCCAAGCAGATTGAGGAGAGGAGCTCCGAGAGCCAACCCTCCAGCCTGTAAGGACCTTGATATCCAAAGGACAGCTGAAGGAAGTAAAGCGCCTGCATTTATGTCACTTCATTCCCACAGTGCCCGAAATGCCAGCTCCTCCTTGGTGTTCTCCTTTCAGGATCTGAATTCAAATCCCATTGGCAGCCCTGATACCGCTGGGGGAAGGGTAAGGTAGGAAAATTCCCACCAGTATCCTAAGGGGAGGTGCGAGTGGCTACCAGGATGTGAGATGTCTGTGGGCAAAGTCCTTGCTTATTCTATGAGGGGCTGTGGGATTAGGACTGTGGCTGGATGCCCCTTCCTCCAACAACTCCATCTCAGCATGAAGCTGAGGCTTTAAAACCCTGGCAAACTGTGGGTGTGTCTCTACTTAATTCCTCCTTCCAAACTCTTGGTGTCTGGTTTTTTCCCTCTTTCTGCCCTGTGGCTGGAGGAGCTGTCCGGAGACCCTACCATGACTCATACTGTCCTGGTCTCCCTCCCTCTCCCCTCTCTATTAACCTCACCCTTCCCAATCTCGTGAGATAGTATTAAGTCCCAGTCGCAGATAGGGCAATAATGTCCCTGCACCCCTCCCTCCACACATCCAGGGCTTCCTGTTCCTTCCATCCTCACCCTGAAGAGCTGCAGGGTGGTGGGGGCAGGCAAAGGCTCATTACTTTGTAAGATTTTCATTATTTTATAAGATTTCCTTTTACATTTTACTTAAGTGTCCTTGTTTCAGAGAGTGGTAAAGACAGATCCTGCTCCTCTCAATCCAATCCTATAGATTTCTTCAGTTATCTCAACAGGGTCATACTGGCTTCTGAAATGGGCACCATTATTTAAAGTAAATAGAGGTACAGAATCCTCAAGATTTATGGATACCTAAGTTTCTGTCCCGTGCCCCCCTGCAGGTTTCCCTATCCCCTAAAGACATTCATGGATGGATGAGAGGAGCTGACATCTCCCCCTCTGTGACCACTTTCTCTTTGGCCCTGGAGGAAGTCTTGCCCCTGGCTGTGACATCTGACCCCAGGCCCTTTAATCAACAACTCTCAGAGCCTCCACACCCAAGATGTGTTTTGGAACCCCAGGAAAATCCTGAAGTGGCACCTGCCCTGGTGTGTGCCCTTTGCTGCTGCTTTGGAATCATCTACTGCTGCTTCGGTGAGGGCAGGGCCAAGGACCTAGGGGGCCATTACCCAAGACTGTCACCCTCAAGGATGATGCCAACTTTCCTCCTTGCTCCTGAGCCATCTCACCTCTCTGCCAGGGGTTCCTACCTCCAGTGTGGCCCATGTTGCTCTGGCTGTATTCCTAGGCCTATGTCGTTGCTCTTGCCAGTTTCTTGTCCATCCTCCATGCCCATGCCTTCTAGCTCTCACTTCTGGCATCTATCATTTGCCCTTCTCTTACCTCCTACCTGAAAACCCCATTCCTAAATTATTCTCTATGTTTCAGGCTTCTTCACTCTTCCCCAAAAACCTGAATCAGCTTGTGCTGATTTTTTCCTATCTGCTATCCGTGAAAGGACAGACCTTCTTTCTATCCTTACTCCCCTCAATGTATCCATCTTACCTCTTGATTTTCCCTCCCATTCCCTCACAGTTCCGGAAACAGTGACCCCCCCCCCGACCCTAAGCTACCCCTTTCTGCCCCTGGGCTTGAGGTCTCCTGACATGCTGCTCCTGTCTTCTGCTCCTCTAGTGAGCCATTCCTCTCCCCTGGAATTCATCAGAGTCATCCCCATAGAGCCCCCTTCCTGCCTCTCAATGCCTCCTGCCTCACTTCCCAGGCTACCGCTGCTTCAAGACAGTGATGTTTCTCTCCAGTCTGCTGTCAGGAGCTTCCTACTGTGCCACAAGGTGCGGGTGCTGGAGACACAGCTGAGCCTGGAAATGAGAGTGGGCATTGCTGTGGTCATCACCACAGCACTCTCTACATAGACCACTCCTCTACGGCGTGGTCACCATGCTGGTTCACTGTGTTGGGCTCTTATTAACTGGTCTCCTGCTACGCCTGACCTTGGGTGCTGGAGCCCTGCTCTCCACTGAGCCTATCTACCAACCACCTTCAGCATGGGTGCCAGCTGGGGGGCTGCGGGGGCCGGCGCTGCTGGGAACCCTGCTCACACTTGGGTGGTCACGTCCATTCACAGTTCTGGGCACAGCCCTGCTGGGTTCTGCAGTGTTTGTGGCCTATGCTGACTAATTCCTGGAGGGGCTGGCACTGGGCAGTCGGCTGGGCCAACGCCTGTAGACACTTCCACCCTTGTCTTCTCTCTGCTGATATAGCTGGGTCTTACTGGGGATTTGGCCAGCCTTGGGGGCCCTTGGGGCCCTGGCCCAGTGGAAGCTCATGCCTGGGGAACATGGAGGCCATACCAGTGGTGAGTTAGTGCTGTGGTACAGAAGCAAGGTCATGCCTGAGGAACATGGAGGCCACACCAATGGTGAGTTAGTGCTGTGGTACAGAAGCAGCCAAACTGTGCCTACTTATGTCCCCAGTTCCTACTTGAGGAGGGGAAGGGGAGAAATACATTTGAGGAAGGAGAGTGGGGGAGGATGTCCAAGGTGAATGGGGCAGGGCACTGAAAAAAAAGTTGAAGGAGTCAGGGGAAGCAGGAGAGAGTTGCAGAAGGAAAGGAGGATCTCAGGGAAGTCTAGGAGGAAAGAATAGAATTCCAAAGAGTTGGCCGGGCGCGGTGGCTCAAGCCTGTAATCCCAGCACTTTGGGAGGCCGAGACGGGTGGATCACGAGGTCAGGAAATCGAGACCATCCTGGCTAACACGGTGAAACCCCGTCTCTACTAAAATACAAAAAAAATTAGCCGGGCGAGGCGGCGGGCGCCTGTACTCCCAGCTACTCGGGAGGCTGAGGCAGGAGAATGGCGTGAACCCGGGAGGCGGAGCTTGCAGTGAGCTGAGATCCGGCCACTGCACTCCAGCCTGGGCAACAGAGCCAGACTCCGTCTCAAAAAAAAAAAAAAAAAAAGAATTCCAAAGAGTTTCTTTTAGAATAAATGGGGGACTGGGCGTGGTGGCTCATGCCTGTAATCCCAGAACTTTGGGAGGCCAAGGCGGGCGGATCACGAAGTCAGGAGATCGAGACCATCGTGACTAACATGGTGAAACCCTGTGTCTACTAAAAATACAAAAAATAAACTAGCCAGGCGTGGTGGCGGGCGCCTGTAGTCCCAGCTAGTCTGGAGGCTGAGGCAGGAGAATGGTTTGAACCCGGGAGGTGGAGCTTGCAGTGAGCCGAGATCACACCAGTACACTCCAGCCTGGGTGACAGAGCAAGAGTCCGTTTCAAAAACAAAAAAAGAATAAATGGGAGGAAGATGAGGCTTGAGAGAAACATAACAGGAAGGTCAAATGGGTTTCTTTAGAGTGTATTAGGGTAGGATTCAGGTCTAAAGAGGCCTCCTTGAGTCTGTATTGCCCCCTCCTAAGCAGTGGTCTTTTTTTTTTTGAGACAGTCTCACTCTGTCACCCAGGCTGGAGTGCAGTGGCATGATCTTGGCTCACTGCAACCTCCGCCTCCTGGATTCAAGTGATTCTCATGCCTTAGCTTCCCGAGTAGCTGGGATTACAGATGTGCACCACCATGCCCGGCTAGTCTTTGTATCTTTAGTAGAGACAGGGTTTCACCATGTTGGCCAGGCTGGCCCTGAACTCCCGACCTCAAGTGATCCACCCACCTCAGCCTCCCAAAGTGCTGGGATTACAAGCGTGAGCCACCGCACCCGGCCAGCAGTGGTCTGAAGCCACCAGCAAGGGCATCTCCAACTCCTTCCGACCCTTTAGCAAAAGGCCAAATGGCACTGGATCCCCTCTGGGGTGGGGCTTTGTGAGGGCAGCTATCGGCACCAGCTCCCTGCCAATACCTGGAGCCCTGCTGACAGTCTCACTCCAGTGAGTGGGGGGCTTGGGGACACCCTGGGCAGATGGAGTAGAGGGCATATGGGGATGGTCAGGGTGGGAGGGGGGCTCTGAGCCAGGCCCCTCCTTCCTCTCTGCCCTGTGTCCCCCCAGCGTTATTTCCAGAGTCTTCAAGAGTGCCAACTGGAACCAGGACCCCAGGCCACAGCCCCCTACGCCGTCCTGGACCTGGATTCTGACTGTGGTTCCACTGTACCCCTTACCTGAATCTCTGGTTCTAACCAGACCTGAGCCTGGACTTCCACTTTTGCCCTCACCCCTGTGAGGGCCTGGGAGCACTAGGTGGACAGGGTTTGAGCCACAGGACCTGCACATAAACTTCCCCACCTCTTGGACTTGGGGATAGGATCTGTGCCTCAACCCAGACCAGCCTTGTAGGAATATGTTCCAAGAACAGAGAAGAGTCTTATGGGGAAGGGGGAAGAAGGGAAGTATGAATATTTACCTCCGACCAATAATAGAGGTACCCTGGTCCCCGAAGAAACTGACTACCGAATTCCCTCCAAGCCTTACCCATATAGTCTTTTTTTTTTTGAGACAAGGTCTTGTTCTGTCCAGTGCCGTGGCGTGATCATAGCTCATGACAACCTTGACTTCCCCGGCCCAAGCAAGCCTCTCATTCAGCCTCCCGAGTGGCTGGGACCACAGGCGCCACACACAGCTAATTTTTATTCATTTGTTTTTATTTTTTTTTTGCAGAGACAGGGTCTCCCTATGTTGCCCAAGCTGGTCTTGAACTCCTGGGCTCCAGTGATCCTCCTGCTTCAGCTCCCAAAGTGCTAGGATTATAGCCACCGTACCTGGTCTTGAAATAGCCTTTTAAATATCCACCTCGGCATGCCTCACAGTGGTAGAAACAAGCGGTTTTTGTTTTGTAGGATCAGGGAGCTTCTAAGGCATTTGATAGCTTTTTGATGGGAAGAAGGGCTCTGAGGAGCTCCAAGATACCCCCACCTCCAGGCACTTCATTAGGGGGTAGTTGGGTTTCTTTGACCTTCCCCCTGGGCCCCATAGGCTTAAACCCCCACCTCCTACCTCAGCTAGGAGCACTAGCTTCCATGGTGCTTCCACTTTTCTCCTCAACCTGGGGAAGACCACAGGGCAGTGCCTGCCTCAGGACCTGCCTTCCCGAAAAGCTGGCTTCTTGCTCCAAGGAGAGAGCATTGGCCCACCTGCCAGAGTCTTGCCTTTTGCCCAAAGGAGCCTGGTCTTCAGGGCTGCATAGGAGACTAGTGCTTTCTCTGCTTCTCACTGTGGGTGGCACTAATTTCCTCCTTAACCAGAACTTTGTTCCAGCCACTAAGCCACTCTAACTCTTCCCCCTCTGACTCTCCTGCCCCAGGTCTGTTCCTGGTTTCCCAGATGCATAAAGGAAGACATATCCCTCCCCTGGGCAGCAAGGCTACAATGGGAGGGAGGGAGAACATGGGAGCATGTGAATAAAATGGCATTACATACTGAACCAGGAGTCCAGCCTCTGCTGTTGCTGTTCTTTTCTTTCTCTGCACCCCAAAACAAAGAGCTAACCATCTTGACAAATCCTCTGTCCCCTAAAGATCTAATAGAGGTACCTGTATCATACAGACTACTGTAAGAGTTATACAACCAGCTAGAGGAAGAGCTGTTCAGTCCTCTCTTATGAACATAGAGTTAGCCTTTATTAAACACAAATGTACCAGACACTGTGCCAGGCACTTCACATACAGTATTTCATTTAATGCAACAACCCTGCAGGACTGGTCTTAACCTAATGTTGCAAATGGGGAATCTGAGGTTCAACAAGGTTAATTAGCTTGCCCATAACCATAAGCACGTAAATGTGATTCTCAAGGATTCCAAGGCCCTTGCTCAGTTTAGTGGCCATGCTGTTTTCTTGCATTTTATGTAAGAAGAACAGGACCCAGGCATCTGCCTCCACCATTGACCTCCAGAAAAGAGATGACATAGTTGGAAGGGCTGTCTAAGACAGACAGGAAATGGAGTTGGGGGCCAAATCTGAGTTAGGGGAGCACTTCTCAGGATTGAAAGAGCACAGGAGAGTGGTGGCTGGAGCTGGAACTGTTAGAGGCCTGAGTTCTACAGTCATGCTCCTGCTACAGCACCTGCGAGGTTCAACTGAGCAGACAGGTATTTCATTCAGGTATTAGGCCTCTGGGAGGGAATGAAAGGGTGGGTGGTGGAGCCTGAGGGCGTAATGTCCAAGATTGTGTCTGTGGGTGAGCAGTCAGTATTCAAATGTGGTATCTGTGGCTGAGAGAGTGGTATCCAAAGTTGTGCCCATACCTGAAGGAGTGGTATCCCCACCTGATGGGGTAGTGTCTACAGTCTGGGGACGACAGTGCATCCAGTTGTGGGCAATATTTCTGGGATAGCCTTTCTCTACTCGAAGCTGCTGGTTGAGGCGCCAGTAGACTTTGCCTTTGAAGAAGAAGACTCGGCCATCTTGCCAACTCGTAGCAGCTGAAGGCTGGTTTGGTACTCCCGTAAACAAACCCTTGATTGGTTTGGGGTAGCTGCTGAAGTCAGTTCGGGCCAGCTCGTCCCACTGCCAGTACCCGGAGCCCTGGATATGGGATGGGTGGGGAGAGGAAGAGGAGAAAGCTTAGGACCCCCAGAGGTCTACCCCCAGCCCAGTGTAGCTGCAGAACATCTCCCTTCAAGCACAAGCTTCGATTCTCAGTATAAGGTAGCCCACCCCTCCTAAGAAGGGATTTGCCCTTGCTTTGAACTTTATACCTTAAAGAGGAACACCTTTTGGTTGAGAGGCCAATAGAAAGCTGCATCCAGGTTAGGTTCTACCCTATTCAGCTTCTTGGGGAAGCCAGGAGACATCTTGAAATTAACGTAGCGCCACACCTTGTCTCCTGAGAGCATGTGAGGAGAGAACAAGTCACCTCTGTCCTCAGGTGATAGCTTTTGGTCTCCTCCGGTCCACCCATTCAGAAACTTCTCATTTCCCTCACTTTTATAGTTTAAGATTAGGTCCTCCTCAAGTAAGATACTGTAAACTAGCCCCCTTACCCTTAAAGAAGTGAATCCATTGTGTTCGAGGCGAATAGACAGCAGCATCCAGGTTTCCGGGGAGCCCCTCCCAAAGGGCAGACACTCGGAACAAGGGGCCTGGCCCTGAATCTGATACAGTCCACACGTAGTCCCTCTTGAAAGCATAGGTCGTCCCACGGGGCCCTTAGAGTAATGGTGTGTCAACAAGTCAAAAAGACAGAGGTCAAGTAGACAGAAACTTGGGGGTATCTCAGGCTGACTAACAATTTGCCCTCCCCCTGCAGGCTGATTCTTCAAATATTCATTCAACTTTGATTCAAGGAGAAAATTAAAGGCAGAGAAAGAGGACTCAGAACGCTTTGTTGCTCAGATCATTTCAGCTTTGGTCTACTCAACAAAACAAAAGTCCTGCAGATAGCTATTCCTCCTTAGGAACCTCAGCCTCCCCTCCAAGTGGCTTCCTAGTTGTCCTTCCAACCAGGTGCAACACCCTCTCTAACAGGCAATCTGGTTAATGTAGTTTTCTCCATCTTGCTGCATTTCCAGATGTGTTCTAGTGGCCCTAGAGGGTGGCAACCTTGGTAAGTGCCTGCCTAAGCCACCTTTAATTTGGTTCTGAACTCTCCCTCCCCATGTCACATGTCTCCTTCCATGGTCATTAATGCCTGGGATCTAACCTCCATTGCTCATGCTGAAGTCCCATGTCACTCCCATATGTCCAGGCCTCAGGATCAGCAGGCTGCCCCCACTGCCTGCCAACAGCCTGGAGGGGAAGGACCTCACCCAGCATCATGGCATCCAGTTCACTACTGCAGGGGTCTGGCATGGGACTGGGTTCTGTGGGCACTGGGGACACAGTGGGCAGCTCTGTCTCTTCTTCTTCCTCATCCTTTATCACTGGACTCTTCTTGCCTACAAGGTAAAGTCATGCTGCTTAGGGAGAGAACTCACAGCACCTGTCCTCCGCACCAGTCTCCTGTAAGTTTTGCCCAGAGGCCCCATACAGAGGGGAGAAGGGAATCCTAGAGCATTGTCATTCGTGGTAGGCAATATTATGTTGGTATCAGTGGAAGACACATTGTAGGTTTGAGAAGCACCAGAAAGGGAGAAGGAGGATTATTAGAATGTGCATTCTTGCCGGGTGTGGTGGCTCACACCTGTAATCCTAGCACTTTGGGAGGCTGAGGCGGGTGGATTGCCTGAGCTCAGGAATTCAAGACCATCCTGGGCAACATGGTGAAACCCGTCTCTACTAAAATACAAAAAAAATTAGCTGGGCATGGTGGCGTGCACCTGTAATCCCAGCTACTTGGGAGACTGAGGCAGGAGAATCGCTTGAACCCGGGAGGCAGAGGTTGCAGTGAGCCAAGATTGTGCCATTGCACTCCAGCCTGGGTGACAGAGTGAGGCTCCATCTCAAAAAAAAAAAAAAGAAGAAGAAGAATGTGCATTCTCCATCCCCAAGCATGGGTGTAAGGAGAGAGAGGCCTGGAAGGTAGATTAGACATAGAAAAGTCAGAGAGAAACTGTTCCTGAAAATGAAGAAGACTGAGTAACTGGGCTGGAAGAGAAGAAAGACACTAAGCTATATCCCTATATGGAGGCTAGACCTGTCTCTTCAAGCCTTGACATGGGAGTCAGACTGACCCTCCCCCTCACTAGGGGAAGGGACTGACCATAGAGAGCCTGGATGCCTGCCACATCATCTGGGTGTAGCTTGAAGTGGGGCTGGTAGCCCTGGTAGACTGGGGCCATGAGGGCCTGGGAATATCGGGAGTGCCCCAGCCCCAGGGCATGGCCCACTTCATGGGCTGCAATGATGCGCAGGTTCACCCCGCGGTAGGTCCCCTCAGTCCAGAACTCGTCTTCATCGAAGTGCACACTGCCCAGCTCTGGGATGTCGGCATGGGCCAGGACTCTCCCTGGACAAAGGCAAAGGTGAACAGGAAGGAGGTCAGAGCCCGCTAGGCCAGAGCACACCCTGCCTATTATAAACTCTAATTAATGCATGCCCTTAAAATTCCCCCAGCTATGTTCACTGTCTCTTGGATGCTTCTTTCTCTCCTTTCAGATTCCCCTGTCATCACCCAGTTCTCTCAGGAATGCCCATCACTGTCCCTTACCTCCCCAGCCACTCCATGCTCTCTGACCCAGTCCTCTCTGGCCCATACCTCTAAGGTATGCCTTGAACAGGGGAACTTAAGGGAGAAAAAGAAGCATAGGCAGCCAGGGGTGATGGCTCACACCTGTAATCCCAACATTTTCAGAGGTCAATGCAGGATGACTGCTTGAGTACAGGAGTTTTAGACCAGCCTGGGCAACATAGCAAAACCTCATCTCTACAAAAATTAGCCAGGTGTGGTAGTGTTTTCCTGTAGTCTCTACCTGGGAGGCTGAGGTGGGAGGATCACTTGAGCCTGGGAGGTTGAGGCTGCAGGGAGCCATGATTGTGCCACTGTACTCCAGTCTGGGCAACAGAGTGAGACTCTGTCAAGCAAGCAAGAGAGAGGAAAGAAAGAAGGGAGGGCAGGAGGGAGGAAGAGAAGGAAGGAAGGAAGAAAGGGAGGGAGGGAGGGAAGGAGGGAGGGAGGGAGGCACCATGTAGATGACCAACTGCTCCCCTGCTCCCGTTAGAAGGTAATTAGAGTGTATGGTGCAGGTGGGATAAAGGGCAGCCCAAACATCAAGGTTCCAGAGTCACTGGTTCAAGGAGACAGAGGTAATCTCAGAGGTCTATGAGGTGGGAACTGAGAACTGTTGCCTACCAGGCCCATCAAAAGAATTGGAACAGTACAAGCTTTGGCGGCCATGGAAGGAGAGGCGGATGTCAGCCCCACCAGCCTGCACCTCTCGGAAGGTCAAGGGAGCCACATTGCTCCAGTACTGGAAGGCTTGACGCAGGGCTGCCCGGGCTGTGTGGGATGGAAGGGTGGAGGGCAGGTTCAAGATGCGGAAAGTCAAGTGCTTCTTTCTCCAGCGGCCTAGTTAATGACCAGAAAACAGATTAGAAATACAGATCCTTCTGCCAACCCCAGAGAGCTCCTCTGGGTTTAGGCATTCAACCCCCAAGACAGGTGATAACCAGGTAATCACCAGGTATTCAACACTGAGCTGGTCCAGACTGTCCTGATGCCACCCAGAGTCCAGAATCACAGCACCCCTCCTCTCCCTCCCTTTTCCAGGCTCCGTTCTCACCCAGCAACAGGTATTTAAGGGTCTTCTGGTTGAAGGGATCCTCTAGGCCACAACGAGGCTGCTTCATGCGGGCCCTTGTGGCATCATCCAGCTGACCTGAGACTGGAAGTTCAGATGCTTCCTGAAAAGCTCTGAAGGAGGGAGAGGGATGGGTCTACCAGGACAGGAAAATCTGAAATGACCGGGAGCTGGAGATGATTGCTCTTTGACTTCCTGCTGCCCAAGGTCATGGCCAAGAATAGCACAGAATCCCTGAAGCTGACAGGGTTACTCCAGCCTCCAGTCCTCATAATTTGGACTTTCTACAGAAATGGAGATACTCCAGCTTCATCTCCCCATTTCAGGCTCTTTCATTCGAGTAAGCTGACCCTCAGGTGTAGCCTTCCTCCTCTACTGTAATTTCTTTTTCTTTCTTTCTTTCTTTCTTTCTTTCTTTCTTTCTTTCTCTTTCTCTCTCTCTCTGTCTCTCTCTCTCTTTCTTTCTCTCTCTCTCTCTGTCTCTCTCTCTTTCTTTCTTTCTCTCTCTCTTCCTTTCTTTCTCTTTCTTTCTTTTTCTTCTCTCTTTCTCTCTCTTTCTTCCTTTCTTTTTTGGTAGAGATGGGGTCTCACTGTGTTGCCCAGGTTGCTCTCAAACTTCTGGGCTCAAGCAATTCCCCTGCCTGGATCTCCCAAAGTGCTGGGATTACAGGCGTGAGCCACCGTGCCCGGCCCTTCTACTGCAATTTCTAACCTTCTCCTACTCTGTGGAGGTGTCCGGCTCCCCTGCTCTGGAGAGCTTCCCACTAGTGCTCCCACCTGACAGCCTGTCCTCTTTCAACCTCCTCCCCTCCTGGCTGGATACCCCTCCCAGCCCAGCTTGCTTTAGAGCAATTTCATCCATCTACGGACTGTCATAGGGCCTATGGGCTTTTCAAGGGACCTGAACATATCTGACAGCAGAAAGAAAAACAATCCATTATATCAACATACAAAATTATAAAACAGAAATAAGTACTGAATTAAAGGCCCACAAAAGGTAACAGCATGTCAACAACTCAACTCAGTTTTACATATCATTATACTTTATGTGGGCTATAACTAAATATTAGTATTTGAGATATGATGTGGGTAGAGACTCCAAAGGAGTGCTTAGGGCCTAGGGAGATCCAATGACTGTATTCCTGGTCTGTGAATCCCCATCTCACCCCATGCCCCACCACCATAATAATGATCGCCACCCATCTCTAGATCCCTGCCATGGTTTAGGGTCAGGAGGAGGTGGGCCTAGGGAGAGGAAGGTATGAGAAGGAAGAAGACCTTTAGACCTTAGCCCTAAAGGCATGCACCTCATAGCTTCTCACCTCAGAGCCTCAGTGATATCTTCTGGCTTGAAGTTATTAGATCCTTCTAGAGGCTTCTGTAGGTACCCATATTGCAACAGGTACTCCTGTGATGGGAGTGGAGGTAAGCAGGTTAAAAGGGGGTTAGTCTCAGAGTAAAGTTTCTAAGTGACCTAACAGGTCCCTCAGGAAAGAAGGGGCCAGATATGGAAGCACTAATGCAGAAGCACCTTAGAGAAGGGGCTCAGGTGGAACAAGGGGAGGCAGCGGGAGATGGGCAGGGTAGACCATGGGGCAGAGGGAGCAAGGGAAAGGCAGGCAGTCTGGGGGTCAGGAGGGAGGCTTGGATGGGCAGTAACCCCCGTCCCTCCCCTGGCCCAGGTCTCTTTCTTGGGGGACTTACCACGGCCATCTCCTCTGCAAGCCCCAGGACCCGACCTGAGACTGTCATGGGGAGTAGGAAGCCCAGCCACAGCTGCTGCCAGTTCATGGTCCCACCAGACAAGAGCTCCAGAGGCTGTCTGTGCCCTCTGACCTGAGATTTCTGGGAGCCTGGGGGAAGCAATGCTAGGCAGAGGGACTCTTTCCTCCAGTTCTTTTTACTCTCCAGCCTCTGGTCCTCTTTATAACAGCTGAGGGGAATTGTGGGGAGAGGCAGAGGGAGGTGACTCAGCCAAGAGATATGTTGCAATTCACCATTAACACTTGCCCTACCAGAGAGTGGAAGCCAAAGAGAGTTCCCAATCCCTTCCCTCAGAGTCCTCTGCTGGAGATGGAAAAACTTTTCATACTGCCCTAGGGTGAGCATCCGGGCAGGACGAGAACCAGAATCTCTGGAGAGTCTAGAGATAGGGACCATGGACATCCCCTGGAGTTAGACATCGCTGTGCCCCAGGGACCCTGGGCCAGCAAATCACTCTGCCCCTACCTTTGAGTTTCCCTAGGATAAGCTGAGAGGTAGGAAACAGCTGAGGTAGCTTGGGTTTCAGGTGAAGGAGTCAAGGGTGAAGTCCTCAGTTTCTTTGTACCCAAGACCAAGTTGGGAATACAAATGCTCCTGAAACCCACTTATGTCTGCTTTAATAAAAAGCCATTATTTCAAGAATCTGATGAGCTTGGAATATGTGGGTGTAGGTGGGGCTTAACAAGGGCACAAATAAGTAAAGGGCGCAGAGCCTACCCTCAGGGAGCTTACAGATCCGGTGAGGCAGATCAAAACACCTGGGAAAAGGGGAGCCAGCATTCCGGGCCAGTGGTGACTCACCCTAAGGGGCTTGGGGCTGGGGGGAGGTTTGCTGAGAAGGCAGGCTTTGAGATGGGCTTTGAAGGCCAGCTAAGGATTGATGGGGGAAGGCCAGGCATGGTGGCTCACTCTTGTAATCCTAGCACTTTGAAAGGCCAAGGCAGGGAGATCACTTGAGATCAAGTTCGAGACCAGCCTGACCAACATGGTGAAACCTTTTTTCTACTGAAAATACAAAAATTAGCCGGGTATGGTGGCGGGTGCCTGTAATCCAAGCTACTCTTGAGGCTGAGGCGGGAGAATCGCTTGAACCCAGGAGGCGGAGGTTGCAGTGAGTTGAAATCGCACCATTGCACTCCAGCCTGGGCAACAGAGCAAAAACTCCATCTCAAAAAAAAAAAAAAAAAAAGAATTGATAGGGTAAAAGGATACTGAGAGACAGACAGTGCAGGTCTTGAGTAAAAGTGCAGAGCTGAGAGCCTGCTGTACTCAGTAAGTCAGAAGGGTCAGGACTGCTTCATTCACCACTGAATCCCGAGTGCCTGTCCCAGGCCATCTCCATGCTTTCGAGGCCCTACTTAATAAATCACTGTCAAAGAATGACGGGGTGGGAAAGTGGTTGGGAGACAGAATTTGGAGGGGGCCTTAAAAGCTATGCAAGGAAAAGAAGAAAAACTTACATTTTAAAATACCGGCTGGGCGCGATGGCTCACACCTGTAATCCCAGCACTTTTGGGGGCTGAGGTGGGCGGATCACGAGGTCAGGAGTTTCAGACCAGCCCGGCCAACATAGCAAAATCTTGTCTCTACTAAAATACCAAAAATTAGCCGGGTGTGATGGCATGCGCCTGTAATCCCAGTTACTGTGGAGGCTGAGGCAGAAGAATTGCTTAAACCCAGGGGACGGAGGTTGCAGTGAGCTAAGATCGTACCACTGCACTCCAGCCCGGGCAACAGAGCAAGACTCTGTCTTGGAAAAAAATAAAATTAAATTAAAATAAATAAAAATATGGCCGGGCGCAGTGGGTCATGCTTGTAATCCCGGCACTTTGGAAGGCCAAGGTAGGCAGATCACAAGGTCAGGAGTTCGAGACCATCCTGGTCAACATGGTGAAACCCTGTCTCTACTAAAATAAAAAAATTAGCCCAGTGTGGTGGCATGCACCTATAGTCCCAGCTACTTGGGAGGCTGAGGCAGGAGAATTGGTTAAACTGGGGAGGCGGAGATTGCAGTGAGCTGAGATCATGCCACTGGACTCCAGCCTGGTGACAGAGTGAGACTCCGTCTCAAAATTAATTAATTAATTAGTTAATTAAAATAAAAATACCTACTATTGGGTGATGGGTGCACCAAAATCTCACAAATCACCACTAAACACTAAAGAACTTATGCAACCAAATACCACCTGTTCCCCAAAAACCTATGGAAATAAAAAATTAAAAGTAAATAAAGGCCGGGCATGGTGGCTCACACTTGTAATCCCAGCACTTTGGGAGGCTGAGGTGGGTGGATCACCTGAGGTCAAGAGTTTGAGACCAGCCTGGCCAACATGGTGAAACCCTCTCTCTACTAAAAATACAAAAAGTAGCCAGGCGTGGTGGCACGCGCCTGTAATCCCAGCTACTTGGGAGGCTGAGGCAGGAGAATTGCTTGAACCTGGGAGACAGAGGTTGCAGTGAGCCGAGATTGCATCACTGCACTCCATCCTAGGCGACAGAGCCAGACTCTATCCCAAAAAAATAGTAAAAAAAAAAAAAAAAAAAAATAGTTACTATGTATTACATGCTTTATATATTACCTCCTTTAGTTCTCACAGCCATCTGGTGAGGGGAGAATTATTCTGACCCCTTTTTGTAGGAGGAAATAGATACTCAGAAAGGGAAATTTGACCAAGAACATGGAACTCCCAACTGGCCTGACCTTATTCAAATCCCTCTGCTGACTCTATAACTCATGCTCTTTCCATACACCACAATGACACTTAGAGCTTAGTTCTTTAAGTAACTAGGAGCCCCTGAAGGATCCACCATCAGTTACACATCATACATTTGCATATTGTTCTAAAGCACAACGAAGTAGACATAGGAATGGGGGGAAAGGTAGCTGAACTTATGTTCTCAGAAGGGCTGGGAGGCTACAAGGGAACACCTCATAGCCCAGGATCAAGGTGGGGGATGCTCCTGATTCACACTGCTGCCCTCAGTGATGCTGGTCCCTCTGAGCCATCCACCACCCAACTGGTAACCATTGGGTGACTAAGTCTCAAGTGACCAGTGACAGGCAAGGAAGGACAGAAAACCTCTGAGAGATGAGTGACAGGGCCCATCACCAAGGCTGATGCACCCAGGAAATGATGGAGTTTGGGGACAAGTTCCTGCTTAGTCCCCTGCAGGGCTCTTTCTCCTCTCTTTCCTCCCTCGTTCTACCCCCATTCCTGTTTTTCTCCTTTTGAGAACAGAACATGGGCCAATTGAAAATTAATTACGATTTTTAAAAGTAATGTTTTGTGTTTTTTTCCTGAATAAGTTATTCATCATTCATTATAATATTTGGTATTAGAAAATACCAAAACAAAGAAGAAAATGAAAACCACTAGTAAATTCTACCCAAAAGAGAACCACTAGTAACATTTTGATGCATTTCTTTGAAACTGTCTGAGGACCTGAGTTTATCCAGCTCCGCCTGCCTAGCCTCAGCCACTGGAGACTGGCTGGGACGGAGGAGAAAGCTTTAGGAGCCAGAGAGGATAATGGAGAGACGTGAGGGGAGAGGTGGGGAAGAGACAGACACGGAGGATGCAAGGGACAGGAGTAAAGTAAAACGAATGCTATAGCAAATTACTCCCTCCCCTTAGAAATCTCACGTAAGGAAAAAAAGAAAAAAAAATTTTTTTTTTTGGTCTCCCAGGCTGGAATGCAGTGGTACAATAATCCTGGCTCACTGCAACCTTCGCCTTCTGGGCTCAAGCAATCCTCCCACTTCAGCCTCCAGCATAACTGGGGCTACAGGCATGCACCACCCAGCCCAGCTAATTTTTGTATTTTTTGTAGAAAGGGTGGGGGGCGGGGGAGGCAGGTTTCCTATGTTGCTCAAGCTTGTCTTGGGCTCAAGTGATCCGCCCACCTCGGCCTCCCAAAGTGCTGTGATTATACCTGTGAGCCACTGTGCCCAGCCAG